AGCTGAGTCATCTTTAATAAAAAGATATAAGCCTTTGGCAATCTTTTAACTATGTTTAACGATTGTGTAGCGAAGGTTGCGTCAACACAGGATTACATATGTTTAAAATCGCATTATGAAAATAGCTAAGACATCATTGTTTCCCGATTACAGAGCAGCGTAATAAAATGTTTACGCGGAGTTATGCAAAAAAAAAATGTTGAAGATATCATTTGCAAGAGCAATTTTAAAAGTCTAGGAATAATATTAAGCACAAAGCTATATACATGGGATTGATTTTAAAAATTAATCAAATTGTCGATTTCTTCTCAAGATTTAAAACAAAATAATTTCGATATACACAGCTCGAACTTATAAAGCGCATCGTTAAGTTCAGAGTTAAAAAATTGGTATCAACTTGTCATGCTTGTTTTCTACGTTGGCAATCCGAAACGATCCGATTTAAACTCGCTCGCTCGATCCCCAAGCTCTCTGACTCCCTTCGACGAACAATGGCCATTTACTTGCATGTCCAAGCGTCGCAAGTGTGTGCATAATCGACACTCCGATTCGCGTGTAGGTGCATCTCTCGGGAGACGAAAACAGACCGGTTCGTCGCGCCGAGAGAGAGAGGAGCGTCGTACCTAAACTACGGGCCCCAAAACAACAATATGGCGTCTGGCTGTCCCTTTAAAACGAGTTAATCCGTCTGTCTGGCTGTCTGCCGATCGCCTGAGAACCAAGAAGATTCATTTCCCCCCTTTTTTTTTGTTCATTCTTTTTCACACGTACCCCGAAAGGGCCGTGTGCCTCAATGGCACAATGCGCGAACGCCGCGCCAGCTCACATTCGCGAAGCCTTTCCGGACAGGTCCCACAAATGTACGTACACACTCACACTCAAATGTATTTAAACACGCACACATACACATACACACTTACGTTTCTACATAAATGTATATACATAAACACATGAACATTTGCACGGCTATAATCGCCGTACACGAGTGCATACTCCGGCGAAAGTGAAATACGCCCGTATTTCCCCGACGAAGATTATTGCATCTTCGGGGTTCGCCATAGGGTCCGCTGCGCCGGACAGATGTTTCAGGCTCGTTTCATCCGCGTTGGGTCAGCGCAGCGCGGGATGTTAGGGGGCACAACGAGATCGCGGTAATATAATGCGAATCGCGGATTCCCGGACCCGACCTCTGGGCCCCTCGAGTTCGTTGACCTATGCCCGAGACGAGTCCGGCGCAATTTCGTGGGCGGCCGCAGCGTATAATGCTGCAGCGCAACATCCTTGGTCTTTAACCCTTCTTAGAATGCGAAAGATGCAATATTATACTTCTTGATATTCTATCTATGATATATGAATTTTGAGTAATACTGGTATAATATTGTAATAACAAATTATATAATTAAAAATAAACGGTATATTTAACTTTTTGCATAAAATCTTCACAAACAATCAAAATGTTCGTAATAAAGAGCAGTTACATCTTGTATAAAATATTTTCACAAATGCACATAATTTTCATATTCTGTCTTTCAAAAGGTAAAAGATTATAATTCGTTTACATTTATGGTGATAATATGATTGAAATAAAAGTTAATCGATGGATTTTATATATATACATAAATTAATATATTTTTGCAATAATTATAAACAATCAGTTATATTATTTAATTTCCGCGCGCTCTTTTCTTGTCATAAGAGTACGCGAAGATAGTGATAGATGACAAAAATGTTATTATATTTTAGCATAATGGAGCTCTAATTAAAAAATTTAGATAAATATTTAATTAAATAAACATACGAGTCACAGTGTATTAGGATAAGATCCAGCCCAGTGCTTACCGTTTAAAAAATTCAGAATCCAGTTTGTCCCAACGATTGAGCAGCGCTGAACGAGGCTGAGAAAGGCCCGACGTTAAAACTCGCGCTCTGTGCATTCGCCTGGCTGTGTCCTCCACCATAAGGACCACCTCCACCTACAGATCCTGCTGATGCTGAAGCAAAGGACGCTCCTTGTCCATAGCCGCCATAGTCCGGTTGCCATCTGCGTCAATCAGAAGATAAAATGCAAACGGTTATTTTGCCCATTTTAGTTTACAAATATTTGTGAAGAACTAGATTTTTCTTGATTTATCATATGTGATGAAATTATAAAATAATTTAAATTGTAACGTTTATATATAAAATAGCGATTATTATTTTTTAATCAAGTAAAATAATATTCTACACGTACCCTCCGTATCCTCCACCACAGCCATATCCTCCGCGACATCCATATCCTCCGATGAGACCATGTGGCCTATGAGGTCGAAACGGTTTATAATGATGATATTTTCGTCTGTTTCCGTAACGGAAATACGTATCATCGTAATCATAATCACTGTAACCACCTAACAAACCAAATTGCGGCGATCTTTGCTCTCTCGTGGTTTCTAAAGTAATGTAAGCATTTATTTCTTTATACATTAATATTTAAATAATACGCTAGTTAGATATTAATATTAAAATAATATCCTAGTTAAAGATAAGTGGACAGCTTTCTCTACAAGAAGGAAGAAGCTAAAAAAATTAAGAAGTTGTATAAACATCATATATGCAAATAAAAATGCATAAATTTTTACATTATTTTTGTTAAAATTAAAATCGTTTTTTAAATGAATTTTCTAAAGACGTGTTTGTTATAAAAATCTTAATCTATTAAATTCAAAATTTTTATTACCAATTTCGGAGGATTCGTTTACAATCGAGGCAACGGGATCTAGCACATCAGAATTATCCATCTTCTCCATTGGTTTACCAAATGATTCTCTTAGAAAAATTGCGCTAAGCGCTGTTATTAAAAGCAAACTTCTCATCACGAAACGGAAGTATCACTGTTACTTGTCAGACGTCTAGAAAATGATTCAAAGTTGGTCTTACATTTCACGTGCTTTTATATCCTTTCACCGTCGAAATTCAAGGAAAGTCATCCACAATTTCACAATGTCGACAACTCTGAACGTTAAAAAACGGTCATTGGTCTTCAAAAAGTAACCGACCTTCCGTTTCAGGGACGACCGGAAATAGGCCGAAGACATAAACGAAATCCTAACGCCGATGGATATTGCTGTAAGTTTGATTTCGACCGTGAGTATGTCCGAAAGTATTACACATTTGCTTAAGTTTGTTCTCATGTGTTAAGTACATACGTGTCCCGTTGTCCAGGAAAAAAAGATGATTCTCTTCTCTCTCTCTCTCCACACTATTTCTTAATAATTTCAACATTATTATTCACTAATGTAATGTAATATTTTTGGTTTCCATATTCGACAAATATAATAATACACGCATCACTTACGTTAAATGTTCATGTAATTTAAGAGCAAGAAAGAAAGCATATACTTAATTTACACACAAATTGTATTAATATTTAAAATATTTTATTGCGTAGTCGACCTTTCGTTGTCCATGAATGAGAGGAAGTAGACTGAAGATATATATGCACAGACATAAAGTTCTTACAACATGTCTTAACATGTAATAATTTTGATCACACCTCCAAAACTATTTTTACACGCTTACTTACATTTATATATTTTCGTGTATATACATATTAACAAAATGACCTTTTTAAAAAAAGGTAAAAAAAGGCGCCAAGTGTACATATACCTCCCATAAAAAAACTGTTACATAAACTAAAAAAAAACCGTTACATAAATAATATAATTCAAGTGGTAATATTGTTAATTTTTTATTATAAATTACCCCTCAGCAGTACGTACGCATGTATTACAAAAAAAATGAAATAAAATTTTCAAATTGCGCCAATTGCAGAGAGAGAGAGAGAGAGAGAGAGAGAGAGAGAGAG